CTTAGGAATCTCTCCTCGAGCTGTGAGCTCGGTGCTTGTGAGGGAGGAGGAGGGCGCACAGCGACCTGTGTACTATGTGGCCCGAGTGCTGCGAGGGGCGGAGTTGAGATATACCAACATGGAGAAGACCATCTTTGCGGTAGTGTGTACAGTGAAAAAGCTCACCCCATATTTTCAAGCCCATCCGGTCCATGTGTTATCACAAATTCCCATCGGAACGCTTCTTCGAAGCCCAAATGCCCCGTCACGGGTCAGCAAGTGGGGAGTGTTCCTGGGATCCTTTCAAATAGAGTTCAAGCCGCGACCGGCGATAAAGGGGCAAGCATTAGCAGATTTCGTGGTAGAATGCACTGCGAGGGAGGTAGAATCTAGTGGAGAAGAACCCGAGGGGAATTGGTGGACCGTGTACACCGATGGGTCGTCCGCGACTGATGCTTCGGGGGGAGGTGTCGTGGCGATATCTCCGGAAGGGTTCAAGGCATACTACTCCGTGAGATTCCGGTTTAAAGTCTCAAACAATGAGGCTGAATATGAGGCACTGCTTTGCGGCTTGAGGTTGGCAGCCTCATTAAAGGCTGAGCGAATCCAAGTCCGGTGCGATTCCAAGCTAGTGGTAGGACACGTCACTGGAGAATTTGAGGCCAAGGATGAACGAATGAAGAAGTATAGAGACACTGCCCTGGAGTTGCTTAAAGCATTCGGGGCGTACCGGATAGAGCAAGTCCCTCGGGAAGAGAACGCTGAGGCAGATATCTTGTCAAAGCTTGGTCCGGATTCCCCGGATCATATTAAGGCAATGACCCAGGAAGAAGAGTTTCTCAAGCCAAGCATCAGTCCCGGACAAGTGCTGATCATCACACTCAGAGAGGAGCCGGATTGGATTGATGAGATTACCATGTACATCCTTGACGGGTCGTTACCCATCGACCCAATCGCGGCAAAGGTGGTGAGGCGACGTGCACCCAGCTATACGCTGGAGTGCGGTCGGCTGTATAAACGATCGTACAATGGTACATTGTTGAGGTGCTTTAGAGCGGGCGAGGCGCAGAAGTTAATGGAGGAAATCCATGAGGGAATATGTTCAGCGCATCAGGGAGCCTTCACGATGTCCAGGAAGGTGACCCTACAAGGATACTTTTGGCCAACGATTATCAGAGATTGCGCAGAGTACGTGCGCAAATGCAAGGTTTGCCAGGAATTCTAGAGGATGCCGGGGCGACCGGCGACGAATTATACCCCGATAAGCACAGCGATTCCCTTTGCCCGGTGGGGCATCGATCTGGTTGGTAATTTGCCTCGAGGGACAGGGAACAACACATACCTGGTGGTCGCGATTGACTACTTCACCAAGTGGGTCGAAGCCGCCCCCGTGCCAACCATCACTGCGGAACAGATGACAAAGTTTGTTTCCAAGCAAATCTTGTGCCGATTCGGGGTGCCCCAGCAGATCATCACTGACAACGGAACCCAATTCGAGGCCGGGGGGTTCAATGAGTTTCTACAGAGCTGGGGCATAAAACACAGCTATGCGGCGGTCGGGTACCCCCAAACCAATGGGCAGGTTGAGAACACCAACCGTACCATCATGGATGGCCTCAAGAAGAAGATAATG